GTAACGATACCGCGTTCGTTGTTAAATACCGCGCCGTTATCAAGTGCAAGGGCACTACCTGTAAATATACCGCGTCCGCCTGTAGGTAATACGTCTATGTAATATACCGAAACGTTACGATACCGCGGCCGCCTATGCACTCAAGTGCATCCGCACTACCTCGTCGTTGTATATACCGCGTTCTGTCCGTCCCTGCGCACATGCCGCGCTAACATCCCGCTTCGGGTATACCGAGTCCGCCGAATAGCGTGCTACCACGTCCGTTAGCGAGTGCAGCTGCACTGCCCCTTTTCGTTGTATATATCGCGTCATTTTGTGTACATAATTAAACTGTGAATAAACTACTGCATGTCTCACTAAATTGATTATTGTCTCTGGGCCTGTCATCGGACTCCTGATCCCGCACACCAGTCCGCGTTCGATAAAGTCAGGCCGTTACAATGTACTTTATAGCGTGTTTATGTATAAAGTTTATGTTATATACTCTCATTTTACTCTCTCTCTCTCTCTCTCTCTCTCTCTCTCTCTCTGCGGGGTTGCGGGGTGCTTGTTTCATACTTGCACACTTCTAATTATTTCCCTTACTATGCTTGCGCTCTGTTCTCTGCCTGGGGTCTATCACCAACTCGCTGTATTATCAATATTTTTGTAATTATCATTCAATCATTATAATCATCATTCTATCCCACGAGAGAGTGCATGCACGCGCTTTGGTCGCTGCCACATGCTTACCACCTCCTTAACGTTTTGATTGTTATCCACTGTTAAATGCATATCGGTAGCGATTATACTGCGTCTCGCATCTGTCTCTAGCTATTAATCACTGCTCTTTATATTTTTGTTTATATACTTGTTTATATCTTGTTTATACATTTATATACCTGTAAATTCATCATTAGCCTAAAGTCTTGACTATGGCTTAAATAAAATCAATCAATCAATCAATCAATCTCTCTGAGGCGGTGTTGCTCTCGTATAGATTCCTAAGGAGAGTGATGAGATGCCTGGGCAGTCCTATCTGTTGAGAAACCGCAGGTCGGGAGATGCAGTGTGAACAGGTCTTCTTTGCAAACGATAGTCTTTATTATATCACGCTCGACAATAGTTGTGTGTGCTCTGCGTCGCGTACAATATGTATCTGAGGATCGACGCGATCGAGAGTATCGAGAGCGCGGCACTGGGTAGCCGGAAGAGGCACGCCGCCTGGTGTCGGCTAGTGACCTAATGTGTATGCGCCACACGTAGAAGTGCGGCGTCGGAACGCTAGTTACAATCTACCGCGCGCGCAACATAAACTTAGTATTAGAGGTAGAAAACG